CGCGAAATGATGTTTGAGAATCAGGTTTTCGACGAGGCGCATTCAAGTTTAAAAATTCGAAAACGATACACTTCTCAAATGAGTTATAGCGACATTTTAATGCTTAAATAATTTGCCCAAACCGATTACTCATTAACATTAATTTGTTCAATTGACGATTTTTTTGAATTATCAAAGATAAATCGTCAAAAATCGATGACTGTCGTTGATCGTCTTTTTTATTGATCTCTCGGTAACATTAAAAAACAAATTGTCAGTGTAGATGGTCAAACGCTAACTAAAATTTGTCTAATCATCCCCACCTGAATTTGATGACGTCAACATTTTGCGTACTAAAAAATACTATTTAAATTTTATAAAATAATATACTCCTGTACGTATGGTTTATGAATCCGCCTTGATTTTTTATCACAATTAGTATATAAAAATTATTTGTTTGCAATATTTTGGCATTTTTAACTCTACAAAAAATCTAAATTATTCTTCAATTGTAACCAGACAAACATTCTCGATTTTTACGCCCCGGGCGTGACCTACTATGTATTACCGCTGCTCCTCCCACTCGGACAAGCTCCACCTTAATAAATCGTTTCATTGGCCCCGAGAAGAGGGCCGGGGTTTACGAGTGTACCTCACCATGTTTACTCTAGATACCATTGTTTGTCAATATAAAATCCAATTTCCGTCTTCGAACCAATAAAATGAGTGATCACAACGAAATAGGGGCCACTTTTGACTTTCTCTCGAATCTCATTAGATTGTACCGCTCGTCAAATCAGAATTCAATTCTCATTTTACAGTAAGTAAACTATAAGTCAGTGAAATAAAGAAGAGAGATCGGTGGAGCTAAGTTTAGCTTTTTTACAGTCTTATTAGAAGGCAATAGCCCCGCCCACCCGCCCTCTCTTTAGTCCAACGACCACTCTTAATATCGTCAGTGAATAACAACATTATCTTACTAAAATCTTAGAAGAATCTCTTAAATCATTGGCTAGAAAATATTATGCTGATATTAAATAACCATACTAGACGTGAGAATCAGATTTAAAACGGATATTACCAATGCGCCTCCCACTCGCACAAGCTCCACCTACATAAATCATTTCATTGGTCCAGAGAAAAGGGGCGGCGTTTATAACTTTACCTAAATATGTTTATAACTTTACCTAAATGTGTCTACTTAATGATTTTCCATTATGTCAATGTAAACACTGGCGGCAAATTCGTCTCTCGAATAAAAAGTAAAATTTAGTAAAAAATAAAATTTTATATATGTTAAAAAAATGTAACCCTAGACTCTTTTATTTGTCATTTTAAAATCCAATTTCCGTCTTGGAGCCAATAAAATGAGTGATCACAACGGAATAGGGGTGGGTGGGCGGGGTCACTTTTGACTTTCTCTCAAATCTCATTAGATTGTACCGCTCGTCAAATCAGAATTCAATTCTCATTTTACAGTAAGTAAAGTAAGTCAGTGAAAAGAAGGGAAGTGGGTGGAGCTAAGTTTAGCTTTTTTTACATCGTCATATAAGAAGGCAATAGCCCCGCCCACCCGCCCTCTCTTTAGTCCAACGACCACTCTTAATATCGTCAGTGAATAACAACATTATCTTTTAAAATCTTAGAAGAATCTCTTAAATCGTTGGCGAGAAAATATAGTGCTGATATTAAATAACCACACTAGACGTGAGAATCAGATTTAAAAGGGATATTACCAAGCGCCTCCCACTCGCACAAGCTCCACCTACATAAATCATTTCATTGGTCTAGAGAAAAATGTGTCTACTTCATGATTTTTCATTATTTCAATGTAAACACTGGCGTCAAAGTTAGCTCTCGAATAAAAAGCAAAAATTAGTAAAAATAAAATTTTATGTATGTAAAAAAATGTAATCCTAGATTCTATTATTTGTCATAAAATTCAAGGGGTGGGTGAGTGGGGCCATTTTTGACTTTATTTTAAATTTCATTAGATTGTACCGCTTGTCGAATCAGAATTCAATTCTCATTTACAGTAAGTTTATTAAGTCAGTGAAATTCAAAAAACAGGTGGGTGGAGCTAGATTTAACTTTTTTTTATAAAGTTTTATAAGAAGGCAATAGCCCCACCCATCCACCCCCTGTTTATTTTAGCGACCACTCTTAATATTGTCAATTAATGGCAACATTATCTTATAAGTATTTCAGACAAATTTCTTAAATTGTTGGTGAAAAAAGTAGATAAATTGTAAACAAGATATGTATCTAGATCCTTTTAATCTGGTGTTAAATAAGCAGACGAGACGGTTTAAAAAGCAATATTATCGATGCTCCTCCCACTCGCACAAGCTCCACCTACATAAATCATTTCATTTGTCTAGAGAAAAGGGGCGGCGTTTATAACTTTACCTAAATGTGTCTACTTCATGACTTTTCATTATTTCAATGTAAACACTGGCGGCAAAGTCGTCTCTTGAATAAAAAGTAACATTTAGTAAAAAATAAAATTTTAAACAGACTTTCCGAGTGTAAGCCTGTAGTAGGATTCATTTGACGTTCCACAGTTCGTAGAAGAAGAAAAAGTAGGTACTCCGTTTCCGTCTGTCTGTCGTCTATTAGCGATTTTATTAAGCAACTAACTTCCGAAACTGCTAATTTTTAGGAAAAAATTCAAAATTTTATTTTACAATTTAACTTTGAAATTGCAAAAGCCGAACCTCTGAAATCTTCCAAACGTTTTAAGATTATAGAAAGCATGATAAATCGTTAATCAAAATAAAAAAATTTGACGTTTTCTTACAATTCTGTCGAATAAATCTCCTTTAAATTTTATAATGTAATATGCTCCTGCATGTGTGATTTATGAATCCGTGTTGAGTTTTTATACTTAGCATTCAGTTTTTTTGGAGAAAACAATAAAAACTGTTGACAATATTTTACAGTTTTACTTTAAATTGCAAAAACCAAATGCTGGGAAATCTTGCAAAAATTTTATATTTTTGAAAGTAAGGTAAATCGTTAATCAAAATTTATACGTCATTTTACAATTTTGCGGAGTAAATGTTCTTTAAACTTAGGGGTGTTTTCTTCATTGAGGAGACAAAATTATTCTAATTTCATTTTCTTTTAACCGCTGATGCTTGTAATCTGTACATGCTAATAGTCGAATTCTTTCGAAGTATAAACAGTTGACGTTACGCATCTACTAAGAAGTTGAGAAAATCTACATTTTCCCCGTTATTTATCTGCTTTAAATATATTTGATATCGTCCACAAATTTTATAGTTCTTTAAAGAAACGGGAAGTTCTGGTGAAATAACGTTCGACTAATTTTTTTAAACCGATCTACTTTTTATGGAAATTTTTCGAATCAGTTTGAAGGTCTGATTTTTACGCACATTTTAGAAACTCATTTGTTGAAAAATTTGAGTAGAATTATTTCGTGTTTCAGTAAATTTTCGACACATCAAAGGTCTGATGACGAAAGGAAAACCCAATATCCACCAGACAGGAAAATCGTATACCTAAATAAATATTTACTGGTGGAATGAACTGATAAATGAAATTAATCACTTTCTGTAAAAGACACTAAATTTTCATGAAATAAACTATATGTACATAGTATAATACAATACGTTTCGATAAAACTGAATATATTAATTGAGGTGATGACATCATTATTACTGGGAACGATTAGACAAATTTTGGATAGCATTTTGACACCTGTAGGATATTCCTAAAATACATACAAAATTTGACAACAATCGGTCTAGTAGTTTCGAAAATTATCTATCTGCCTAACAAAAATTCTGGACAGACGTCAGAAAGACAAACAGGCAGACGGAAATAGGAGACCTGTTTTTTCGTACTCCAGGGGTCATGAAATATCGAGACGAACAATTTGTCTTCGAAATGTCCATTAAAGTAATTTTGTAAAATGACAACTAAAGCAATACAACAAATTCTCCGGAAAGGAAGTTCCATGACGTTTCTGAAACAAATCTTTCAAGTTATCTAACTAAACTACTTCTATTAATGGTTTTTGTTGCTACCAGTAGTTTGTTGAAAGTTGAATTTCCACATAGAGATTTCGATACAAACAGATAAAAGCAGGTTTCAAAGGCAAGTAGGTCCGTTGCATTTAGTATTGATTTCACATGAAATAAAGCTTTATATTATATGTAATTATCTGATGCAATGTAACTTTATTCTATTGTATGAGTCAATAGTGTGAAACATACCTCAGCGTTTTGCTTTGTATCAAAGGTGTGTATGCCATCTTTGGATAATAGTCACGAAATGAGTCGCCTGACTTTAATAATGGTACTGTTCTAAAACGACGTGAAGGCCTTTTATTCTGATAAACAATGTAAGCTATACTCGGCCCACGTACCACGAATAGTTTGCCAGATTGTAGAAATTTTTCAAATATTGACCCAGATGGAGACGTCTGTCTATGTTTTTATACTTTTTGCCAATAATAAGGAATTCGTGCTTGGTTTACACACTTTGTAATATGTCTTGGCTTTCGTATACAAATTGAGGTATAAATTAAATTTTTGTTTTTTTTCCCGGAAGGTGATGTTGTTTTGATTGAAGAATCCAGTTTTCAAGAACGTACACACAAAGCGTGTTATTTTTGTATTGTTTGCGTTCCAAAGCGACGATTTATGTAAACTATATTTGATAAAAAAATTCACATTATTTTGCATCCATTATGCAATCATCTGGGTATGCGAAAACTTGGGTTTTCTTTGGTTTGAATAGAATGCTTGGGAGATTGTTGACAAATTGCATATAAACACATACCCGTACCGCTAGTACAACTCTCTACATTTATGTATAATCATCTGAGCTGAATACAAATGAATGAGATAACAATTAAAGAGTAACGGTCTCGTTAACTAATGCAACAGTAGCCACTTATTCATTAAAACAACGTTGATAGGCATCTATATCGTGACCTCCAACTCCATTTAAAAATTCGACTCTTTGTTGACAAGACTTATCTTTTGTTTCAGATGGACTCGTCTTCCTTATCATGTACAAACAGGATGGGAGTAGTTTTATAGATTTTCTACTAGGCTAAATGACTGTCATATACAAACTTGTTAAAAATGCTTCACTTTTTGTTACTGTTTCTGTGTACAACTAGTACGCTAGCCTTTCTAGAAGGTCCCAATGTGTGTACGACGCAAGAAACGTGAGTGGAATCACTAACCTGTCAAAATATCGCTAGTAACGATGACGTTCTAGGTACACGACGACTGTACGAGTTTCCGAACAGCAGCCCTATCAAGTGAGGGAATACGTGTGGTGTTTAAATTTTCCGCCAAGATGCTCAAAGTACAAAATTAAGTTCAAAACTGTTTATAAAACGCAGAATTTAAGTAAAGTTAGACCTGTAAGTGACTGCTGTAAAGGTTACGCGAGGAGTTCGGACGATCGGTGTGTGGCCGTGTGCTCCAAGGAATGCGTACATGGGACCTGCATAGCACCGGACCAATGTTTGTGCGAAACAGGATACGGGGGACCATACTGTGATATTTGTAAGTAGTTTTTGCTTTTCTAAGATTGTGGCTTTAATTGTTGCTAAAATGACTGGGTGCTTCGAATGTAATGCTTGTTCCACTAACATTAAATCTAACTGAGTGGCACTCAATATAAGATTTAAGCTGCCAAAATGAGGCAAAACGTGTCTTCCAATTTCATGCTTATGTTGGCGATAAATGTATTGTTTTGCATTTGTTGGCGAAAATACGACTCTTCTCGACAATGACTATAACGCATTTTGCCGTCAAAGACAGTTGGCATTGTAAATAATCTTACTGTCTTCACGGGAGTGGCTTTTACCATTTTTATTCTCTCTAGACTTGCATTGACTTTTCTCAAATCTTCATTCATTATTCCCACATCGTTTGCAATTAACACTGTCATCAATGTATCATTCATTAATTTTTTAAATCACCCTGTATACTATATAAGCAATTCCAAAAAGATGAATGCATTGATAGCCACAAGTGCATTTGACATTTATGTACGATTTAGCCAGCACAATTTAGTGATGACGTCACCAAGTTTTGGGAGGGGATACACGTGATTACCGATTTACCATGTTTACGGTAATTTTAAAACGTTGGCAAAATTTCAGAACAATCGGTTTTTGCAGTTTCTAATTTAAAATGTAAAATGTCATAGAATTTGGATTTTTTCGATAAATCAGCATGTCTAGAGTTTTTCGAAAAATGTTATTTTGCAAAATTGCATTTATTTAATAATAAGCCCTATAAGCAAGGTTGACCTGTTGTAAACCATTTTACTTTGTATCGAAAAAATACTGATTTAAATCATTCTTGTTTTTTAAAATCTTCTTTTAAAATTACGTAAATATTTACGTCGATTTTATTAGATAGATAATCCCGGAAACTATTGGACAAATTTTATATGTATGGTAGGAATATTATGGATGGATTGTCTCCACCTAAAAATTTTGCATAGTAAACGCTATTTAAATTTTATAAAATGACAATCCTAAAATTGTGGTTTATGGATCCGCCTCGATTTATTTAACATACAGGAGTTATCCTGAAAAATTAAAAGTCTCGAATTCAAATTTTATCATTTTTCGCAGAAACTATATTTGTTGGACTGTAAGGAAGAGTCTGTGTACTACCCGGGATCAGTTAAAAAAAAAAAAACAAGAAAAAACGTGTTTTGAAAAAAATAATTGATTTTTGTTTATTTTTTAAATCTGATTTTTCCAACTCGCGCACAAGTAGAAAAATATAGGAAACAGAAGTCATATTGAAACACACTGGGTAAGGATAGGATTTTAACGCATAATGGAAAATATAGGACTTTTTATTAGGATAAAAATCAAAGCAGATTCATAAACCACGAGTACAGAAATATATTGTTTTAAAAAAATTAGATAACCTTCACTACGCAAAATGATGAAGGGACTTTATCAAGTTGTTGGTGGGGATGACTAGACAAATTTTGGTTAGAGTTTTACCACTACATGTTATTCCTAACATACATATATAAATCTATACAGACGACAGACGTTTCGCACTCTAGGGTCATGAAACGTCGAAAAAACAAGAAAGTAGCCAATCATCCAATGGACTCTATTACAATACTTCCTTGGCTCACGCTCGGGCAGTAAAAAGTGGATTCATAAACCACAGGTATAGAAGACTTTGCAGACTTTGGAGTGTCCTTTAAATGGTGAAACGCTAACCAAAATTTGGGTAATCATCACCAAGAATATGATTACGTCCCCCCAAATTTTTTCAATTCAAGTAGGATTTAAATTTTATAAATTATCAAACTCTTCTACCTGTGGTTTATGAATCCGCCCTGAGGTTTTCCACAAAGCATCCAAATTTTATACTGCAGGTGTCTGAATTGACACATGTGACCTTGCTGAAATGTTGATTGAAACATTTTCAAATTAGAAACTCACTAGGAACACAGATAAACCCATGTGTTTTATCAATGCATTCATATTTTTGAAGCAATTGTTAAACTGTTTCCAGTGATGGATGGAAAAGTGGAGCAAATATAAACAAGGTAACAGAGTGTGTTTTAATAATAACAATAATAATAATACCATTAATGCAACCAACAGACATAATGCTTTCGAATCAAAAGCAGTAGCGAAGTATAGGTGAAAATATGATACATTAAAACGACAAAAATCATGAAGTTTCTTACAGTGCACGGTGTATAATGAGTTAGGTGTTACGACGAAGCGCACTCACCGTGCATCGACTTGACGCCGGTTTAGTCACGATGAGCGGTCGAGAGAGACAGACAGCGGCGGCCTGTAACCTCTCACTTAGATCTGTTTAGCAGCGTTTGGCAGGCTTTTTCCCTCTCTAGGTGTGACAGATTTTGCTAGGTTTTCTCTGCGATTTTTTACTTGTTTTTTGATTTATCAATAAAAATGGGTAGAAAATGTGTTGTGCCTAATTGTTCTAGCGTATACAATGGTAATCCCGAAAAAGTGTCGGTGTTTCGGGTAGGTACCTAAAGACAGATTACTGGAATGGCACTTTTATTGCAGTAGTGAACTGCTGCTTTTGAACAACACTTTGCACTAAAAAATACTGTTCGTCGCTATAGTAATAGTACGAGTAGGCATTTTATGTTGAATTTTATTTTTACTTAAGACAATTACTCCCTTTTTATCGGTTATGTGTTATGTTTTAACATTCAAGAAACAGAATTTATGTTTATTTTCAGAGGGTTTTTGAATGCGATATGTATTTTTTCTTTATTCCACATAAACTATATTTTTTGCAGAGATTTTTCGGCACAATTCGACAAGCAGGTTGTGCCAATGGACATCCCTTATCTATAACTCTTTGCACCTATACCGAATGTTATCGGTTTATAAATTATTAAAACCTCCGAAATTTGGTAATTGCACACAGATGCAGGAAAATAGTAATGCAAATCATTCCTTATCATTTAATAACTCCAAAAATATTTTTGAAACAAATACCAGACTGCGGGAAAAATCATGTTGAGAAAATAAAAAGGAAAATTGAATATATTTTAGATACAGATTCACCGATTAACGAAATAGACGAACAACTATTTGAAGATGTCACTACAACTAAAATTGTTGACAACATCATTTATTACTTAGCTGGATTTGTCGCAAAAAAAATTGTACAATACTTCAAAATGTAATATTTGCCGTGAACAGTTATATAACAAAGAAGATCCATGTTCTAGTACATCTGAATTTACTAGTACAAAATCCAGGGAGTGGTTAAACCATCCAGATTTGTTAATGTTTAATATGTTCCGATGGGTGGAAGGGATATTTATGAAATATATCCATTTTGTGGATGTATTCGATGCAACAATTGAAGAGCTATTCGCAACAAAAATTTTTATGACTATTTACTTTCCTTTTTCTTGTGAAGAGCATAGAATGGAAATATTTTCAAAGGCAAAATATTTTTACACAATTATGCAAATTACACAATTTTATAAACAGAAACAAGAGAAAACAACCAAGGCATGTACAGAAAAAAGGAAAGAGTCTCGATTACAGACTACGTAATAATGGTAACTTTTTATTTCTCAAACAGTAAAGCAGATAATGGTTAATGGATATTTTTTAGTTGTCTTGTGAAACGAACAGAAGTGAGTGATACTAATATAATATGTGAAGGCGAAAAGAACTATCTTTAACAACGAGTTTACATTCATCTTTTTAAATAAATTATTATTTTAAAAATGTTTAAAGTTTTTATTTTAATACAACGGATAATTAATTTTGATGATTTTTGGACCTAAATGGCTTTAATTCCGAGAAATACTTCTCCCGTCTCTTTCCCGTCCGTGCGATTAAATGATGGCCGCCCTCTTCTGTTTCTCTCACTCCAAATCTGTGACTAGTTGGGGACACGTTTCACGCGCTCGTCGGAACACCTAACTTATTATACACCGTGTTACAGTGTTACTGGTTTTATCTATATATATTTTTTATGTTTAGATATTACAAAATTTAAATTTTGTAATATACATTTTCCCTTTTTTTCTTAGCATGTGTAGTCATCTTTTCATAACAAGAAACTTAAAACATGTTTAAAATGGTAAATTTGTCTAGGGAAATATCGATTTTGTTATTACGCTCCGCCCCTCGGTCTGACAACGAATGAAAAATTCATCACGATTGAGATGACGGATGGGTGGCGCTTCTCTTTTGGTTTTCTTTTTTAATTAATACATTTAGTTTTGTTTGTGTAACACTTAAGAACATATTTCACATGGTAATTTCTCGTAGAAAAATAAGGATTTTACAATTAAGCTCCGCCCCTCGGCTTACGACGAATAAAAAAATCATCAGAATTGGGATCGGGCGGATGGGTTGGGCTTATATTTTGCCTTTTTTTCTTTGTTAATATACATAGCCATCTTTTCACAACAATAAACTAAAAACATGGTTAAAATAGTACATTTTTGCAAGAAAAAATGGATTTTGCAATTATGCCGCGGAACCTAATTTCAAAATCGATATTTCCGTATACAAATTTTCCATTTTAAACATGTTTTAATTCTGCAATTAGGCTCCGTCCCTAAGTCTGCTAGCGAATGAAAACTTCATTACTTTTTACATCAGGGCAGGTATGGGTGGGGCGTAATCTTTGGCTTTAATTTTTCTTAATGTACATAGTATTCTTTGAACAACACGATATTCAAAAGCATGTCTTACATGGTAGTTTCTTGTAGAGTAATAATAAGGGTTTTACAACTGAGATCAGGCGGGTGGGCGGGGCTTAAAATAGTAAATTCTTGTAGATAAATATGGACTTTGCAATTAAGCCCCGCCCCTCGATTTGACAACGAATGAAAAATTCATCACAATTTAGAATTGACAATATTTTGTAAAGAAAGTTTATTATAAACGAATAGTTACTCCTACTGTTAAATTATGAATCAATCATTGATTCTGTTATTTTCGGGTTTCAAATTGCTTTTTACAAGAAGTTCTTTAATATTTCTAAATGGGTCGTACTGTTATTAAAAAAAGTTTAGTAATTAGGAAACTCAAGTTCACATATATGAAATTGTACGAACTCCAGTGATTCAGCCCTGTTTGTCTTTTTTAAAAAAATTCACATACAGTGTAACTTTAGTGTTTGTATATATTCTATATTGTGGAAAAATTGTACGATAAGATTAGAATTTTTTATTGAACGCCTTGTATGGTGTGAAATACAAATACTGCATATTTTACTGTGCATCTTGGTTATCGGTTGCATTTTGTAAAAAAGATAAGTAAGCACTACCGCATTTTTCTAAGATATGTAAGCTCATTTTTGCTCTTCGAGTCGTAGATAAGTTAATGTATTAGGGTTATTTTTATAAATGTCTAATTTCATACCTTACCATGTTTGCCAATTCTGTTTTGTTTGTGGGCTCGGTTTAGTCTCTTTTAAATTTTTGGACAACTATTGAATAATATCGGAGCTATCGAACCGATTACTTTACAGTTTTGTTTGTTTCATTAATAATAATAACTACATATAGGCAAATGTCCAACTTAGTGAATTCTCATTTATTTTTATTAATTAATATAAATAGTAATGAACATTTGCTGCTAGTAAAACTTTACTTGGATGATGAATTTGTTTTGATTTTATTTCGTTTTAGTACAGGTATCGCTTTAATATGAACTATAAAACATCTAAGAAGCCAAATCAGTTAATTAAAATTATATCTGCGATGATAGTCTGCCACTCTAAATTGCGACACGTACCCTGTGAATTTTATTATTTTTAGTTAATAATAATAGTAAAACAATTAACAATTGTAGAGAAAATTATTGTCATTGGAGTTAATGAACTGATTAACATTAATTGAAAATAAATTAAAAAAAGAAAGTACTATGTAATCGTATTTCAAACTTAAACAATTATTTTTGTATGGATAAAAGAGAGTTTGTTATGAATTAAAACTATGAACTACCAGTTCCTATAGAATAGGTGTTTTTGGTATGCAATTAATATACGGTTTTAAGTCGATGTGTAATTACTATACTGACTCACTGGGGTATTGTTCATTTTTTTTAATCGCAATGGTCTAACCTGTTCTTTAATAGTTTGGTTGAATTTATGGGATTTTTTATGCTTTATCTTTCTATTGTAATTTAAAAACCGTATGCTTTTGTGTTTTCAGTAATTCTATTGCGAGGATTATGTCATCACAAGTTTTATCGCTACGAAATATCGTTGTCTTTACCACATCTGGCATTATGAATTTTTTCGATAGGTTTCCTTCTGTCTGTAGTTCTATCTTCTGTCTTCTTTCCATTTCTACCCCTCTGGGTGACGTCATCTTAAAATTTTGCTGGATAAATCCTATCTAAGCAACTGGATTTGTCTGATTGATCTTCAGAAGTGGGGGAAGTTTTGTCTGGATAAATTTACCCCAGTTTTTCATTATATATTTTCTAATTTAATAAAAGTTTATTTTTAGACACAATAATATCGGTTTGAATGATATGCAAATGTCACACTATCTGTGGTCGGTAATTGTTCTGTTGCAATCAAACTCGGTAGGAAAATCCTCCAAATCTAACATCTATATTTGAGGAAAATTTTAGCTTCAGATAACCGCAACTTGATTTTAAACAACTGATTTGTTAACCACGAAACCTAATCAGTTTTAAAATTAACAAAAATCCTGTAGTGGATTGCCATAACGTTTCATAAGTTGATTTCTGTGTATTGTTTATGAACTGAACAACGTCTATTGTCCCCATTTAGAGAAACGTAATTTCGAATAGTCCATAAAATCAGGTGTTTAGAGCGTTTTATCAACGTTCGTCACCGTTGTTCGCAGAATCAGTCATTAGAACATATTAAAAATATGTAAGGAAATTTTTTTAGTTTTTTTAGTCGCGCACTTAATTATGATCAGTAAGTTTTAATCCATTGCTTCCGTATTCTCCTTTCACTCGACCGCAAAACTTTTTAAAATGCGTTTCCTTGAATCTTGTAACATTATTCCTAATATGCTCTTAATTAACAGTTGGCACGGTGCATGCTGAGAACTCGAACCAATATTTCCTATTTTAAAAAACTTGTCGTTTAGTTTCTCTTGTAGATATCTCAGAAGAAGCGCCAACGTCAGCGTAAAAATAATCTACAAAAATAATTCTTCGAATTTCTTCGCGAAAACCGTTACCGGAACAAGTCCAATTTTTGTACTGGTTCATCAATTTGCTGCACAGATCACTACCAATTTATATAACGTTACTAGAAAACTGTTTGCGCTTCACTTGGCACATCATGCTCACTAATCCACGATAAATTTTCTTCCAAAATTTTTATTTACGGTTAAATGACCCATGTAAACATTTAAAACTTTTAGTCGTTTGTAAACAGTAAATTAGAATTAGAATTTTGTATAACTTGTTGAATATCGTTTAAAAAAAATAATCAGTAATGGACCACAATGTGCTCCTTGAGAAACACCTGAGGGTACTAAAATCGGTTTAGCCCAATGGGAAACGATTCAAGATAAAACTGTTACCAGAGATATACTTTTTTTTGTACTTATTGGCAAACTTTTCCATTGTTGTAGCTTGCCCCAAAAACTTATGGGGCCGTGAGTGCCAAAACCGTTGCAAATGCCAGAACAATTCCACTTGCGATCCATTCGACGGTTCCTGCCGTTGCGCCCGCGGATGGACCGGTAAGCTCTGCGAGAACAAATGCAGTGCGGGCAGCTACGGCCAAGACTGCACCGAGAGGTGTAGGTGCGTGCACGGCGACTGCGATCACGTGTCGGGCGAATGTCGCTGCAACTCCGGTTGGACGGGACCACTGTAATTTTCCTCCTTCTAATCGCCAATTTGCATTCAAATCGGTCATTTCTAGCTGCGACAACTCCTGTCCGCTCGGCAAACACGGCGCCGAGTGCAAGTCGGACTGCCGGTGCCAAAACGAAGGAACCTGCGACCCGGAAGACGGCCAATGTTTCTGCAAGCCGGGCTGGACCGGGCCCGTCTGCGCAAACCGGTGTCCGTTCGGGTTCTGGGGGGAGAAGTGCACTCAGACCTGCGGCTGCCACAACGGGGCTTCGTGCCATCACGTTACCGGGAAATGCGAATGCCAGCCTGGGTTCACAGGCAATAGGGTAGCTAGGGTTTGTTCTGAGGGTGTTTTGAGGTTAACTGACCCCTATTTGTAGTGTTTGGATATATGCACGGAAGGGACGTACGGTTTGAATTGTACCGAGGAGTGCAAATGCAAGAATGGTGCCAAATGCTCAAATATTGATGGAAATTGCACGTGTTCGCTGGGTTGGACGGGGAAGTTCTGTGAACAAAGGGCGTGTCCGGAACACTTGTGGGGCTACAATTGCTCAAAGACTTGCGCGTGCAGTCGAGACAACACGGAAATGTATGTTGGGTGTGGTGGAGGCGGTTTGGGTGTTATTGTGGTTGTTGTAGGTGCCACCCTTGGACCGGCGAGTGCGTGTGCAAGCCCGGCTGGAACAGTAAAGATTGTTCTAGGTTGTGTCCGTTGTTGACTTTCGGCAAAGGTTGCCATGGGCTTTGTGATTGCAAGAATAATGCTCAATGTTCACCAGTTGATGGTACCTGTATATGTGCTCCAGGTTTTACTGGAGCCGATTGTGGAAAAACGTGTCCACTTAATATGTTTGGAGAGGATTGTTCACAGAAATGTGACTGTGAGTATTTTGGTTGTTTGTTCTTTGAACTATATAATGATGGGTCATGGTACTACCGTTCGGGTGTGATTTTGTAAATAGTATACCTTTTCGATAAATACTATAATTAGGGTGTCGTTTTTCCGCGCAGGTAAAAATGGAGCAACTTGTTCGAGCGAGACAGGTCAGTGTATCTGTACTGCCGGATGGGAAGGCCAGCAGTGTGATCGACCCTGCAGCAACTATTCCTATGGTATACAGTGTACTAAACAGTGTGCTTGCAAAAATGGAGCCTCTTGTAGTCCCCAAAACGGTTAGCTTACTAATTAATTAACAATTTTTAATTTGCCTTCAATTCTAAAGACCCTCGCTCACGTACGGATGTTAGAGGCTGGTACTTCACGGGCTAAATTCACGAAATTGGGTAACGTCGCGGTTTGTAACCCAATTATAAAAAAAGTAGTTCGTCTGTGGAAATAAAATTTTTGCTAATGGAACTGGGACAGATTCGGAAATCGTGTGTTTACTTATTTTGTTTCATCATTTTTTAGCTAATACAGATACTATGATAATGAAAATTTATCGAGTGTTTACTTTGGCGTATAGGATTTAACATGCGATTTTCGGAAGCAAACGTGCACTGTGAACAGTTTTTTTATTCCCTGGAACTAAGTTTCAGACTTTCGAAAAAATCGGAAATTACGAGTACTTCAAGATCAAGATCCCTTACTGAGCGGGCACTTTAAGACTCGAGAATTGATGACAAATCTTTGCACTTTTTTGCATGTTGTGTGTTTTGGTAGGAACTTGTACTTGTGGAGCAGGATATACTGGTCAGTTTTGCGAAACTAAGTGTCATTCCGAAGCGTTTGGTGTTAACTGTCAACAAGAATGCCAGTGTGAACAAGGAAATTATATTGGTTGTGACCCAGTTAGTGGCAAATGCAATTGTAAACCTGACTGGAAAGGTACTTCAAATCAAGTAACTCATTCATGCATTCGAAACTTCCAGTCTGAGATCATTCTTCTGAATCATTGCATAACCTCGCTTCATTAATACTCACTAACATTGTTCGTCATTCCGTATTTATATGAATTTTTGTCCAGGCGTGCGCTGCGAAACACACTGTCCGTCTGGAAAATTCGGGCCTACGTGCGAAGAAGATTGCAACTGTAAAAATAACAGCTCGTGCGATCCGGAGTCCGGGAAATGCTACTGTGCCAGAGGGTGGCAAGGCGAGGATTGTTCGAAACCGTGCGATGAGGGGTACTACGGTATCGGGTGCCAGCAAACGTGTCCACAACTTGCTATGGGTTTGTAGTCACGAAACGAGCTACCCTGGACTCACCATTCATTACCTTTTAGGAAACAAAACCTGTGATCACGTTACGGGAGAATATGTTTGTCCCGCTGGTTACATAGGCATCACGTGTGAGCACCCTTGCCCTTTGGGTACCTACGGCAAGAACTGCCAAAGCAACTGCTCTTGTAAAAACGGCGGCGACTGTCACCACGTCACAGGTACCACAAACCTTACTTACCTCAAGAAAAGTCTTAAAACCAAATTCCAGGCGAATGCCAGTGCCTTCCAGGATGGATGGGCAAGAACTGCAGCATCCCGTGTGAATCCGGTCGCTTTGGCATGAACTGCAGCCAACACTGCAAGTGTTCGAACAACGGCGAATGCAGACGTAACGATGGCGTCTGCAAGTGCCAGCCCGGCTGGACCGGAACCCAGTGCACCGAAAGTATGTATAAAATTCGCCGAAAAATATAACCCCCAAGTGTCTTTTAGTTTGTCCAGAGGGCTACTTCGGTGACCACTGCATGACCCCTTGCGAGTGCAAGAACGACAACTTCGTGTGTCACCCGGTCAAGGGGTGTGTCTGCCGTCACGGTTTCGCCGGGGAAAATTGCGACGAACCCATTCTTCTGGGCAGTTATCGGACACCGTATGACGAAACCCACAACAACTACGGGAGCGTAATCGCTGGGGTTATCGTCGCCGTGATTGCTTTGGTTGCGGCAGGGTGCATTTTCGTGTACTACAGACGGCGAGTTTCCAATTTGAAAACCGAGATAGCACACGTGCAATACATAGCCGACCCGAACGGATTCTCGCCGGGTTAGTTGATTTAGGTTTCGTGTTTCCGTTGTGACGCTTTTTGCTTCAGATCGCAATCATTTCGACAATCCTGTTTATTCCTACCAAGGGGGTGTCAAGAGAGACAACGAACACTTACTGAACAATTCCAAACAAATACGTAACAATCTTCACAAGCCGACGAACACGAATTTGGAGAGGGCGAGATTAGGGGTTGCGTGCTGTTCGACCGACGACGACGATTTGAAGGGTAGTTACGGCACAGATGAGTTGCAGTCGTTGAAGAATAGGGAAGCGGATGCCACGAATCCGAATATCTACCACAGCATTGACAAAATTGATCACGTTTATGACGAAATTAAACAGAAGGATGTAAAGGACATCGGTAAGTACCATAGTTCGACGGGTGTAATACAGGTGATAAAATAATTTGAATGTAGGTATTTCTAAGTGGAAGTGAATCATGTAAGTTGAGTGTAAATGCTTCCGCGTGCTCTTTTCATTAGTTTAGTGAGATGCATGGCGTTATTATTATTATTATTATTATTATGTTTAAATTGAATGTAGTGCGTCTTTAACGTGACTCGTTTTTATAGAATTGGAATACGATCACTTGGATTATACAAGGCCGGCAACAACATTAAAACCGCATTATCAGAGAATGGCGAGCCCATTTGGGTCTAGGGACCTGGATAAAAGTGATAAGTCTGAGACTGAATGAGATATTTGATAACTGTTGACAATGTTTTGTATATTATGTGTGTTCTGAATGTTTGATATTTTTTAACCTTTACTATGCTCATTAACGATCTTTAGATCTCGGATTATGACGTTTTCAAAGTCAGTTTGTTCTTATACTTTACATAACATGGCAATTCTACGTACTATTCGATAATTGTATTAACGTTGTATTTTATGAATAATGAGTGTAATTTTTATTGAGAGATTCTCTAAACGATAAGTAATATTTTAAGCGAGTGTATGTTCTTTATGTTTTATTTCGTTTTGCAATATGTGTATCAGAGCAATAATTTTCTTAGCATATCAGATATTAAGTAAGGTGAAAATATGTATAATCTAGTTTTACTTTTAAACTTATTTTAGTCGTAATGTAAATCATCTCTTATCATTTAATGATGTGTATATAATAATTTTCATTAATTTATGTAATACTTTCTGTGATAAGTATAAAATAAATTTTATCTTTCAATCAGTCGTATTATGTCATCAACATAACCTAGAATATTTTCTTTGTTTCGTCTTCCGTCTTTGTCTAATGCGCTATAATTATGATTTATGTCGCCGTCCAAGCTTGAAGTTGACGTAACTTAAAGCCTGAAGACAGCCACAATACGGATCTGTTGTGTAACAACATGTAAAGAAATGGGTCGAGTAAACACACGAAAGTTAATATCTTGTATAATATTTTATTCAGTCATTCTTATAAGTATAAAAGTATACAAAACTTTCACATTCGCACTGACGCACACACACATAACGAAATAATTAAAAATACTTACATCTCTTTAGAGTTCTACATAATTACAATAACTACATTTTAAATATCAGTTTGTATAAAAGTATAAAAGACAGTTCGTGACTATAAATAACAAGCGGGGAAAGGTACGAAAATTACACAGTAAAAATACATTACAAAATACTATTCACACAACACAACTGAACATATTGTTAATATTTTACATAAAAATTAATATAAATTAACAACTATGGTAGTACTTACGATAACACATTAACAAGTAAAAAAATTGTTCACTAGACATTTGTTGTGCTACTTGAGCATTAATTTAATTGCTGACCAGATTAACTATTGACCTTCGCTGTCACTGTCACTTTTGTCTGTAAAAAGTTAGTTTGTTAGAGTATCTCCGTCAGTCCGGTACTTACTCGTTGTTACCTTTCTTGCCCGGGTAAGCGTGTCGCTTTAGTCTATCGTACAAATCGTCTTTTGTACCATAAATACTGGCATTCGATCTCGCTAAACTATTCATTTTTCCGTTGACTCCGTTATGAAGACTCTCCTTCATATACGTTTCGTTGTAGAAGTTCGGCATTTCCCAGCCGTCCTCCTCGTCGTCGTAGTAGTGGGCGTAAGTCGAGTGATGGCTCGGAGCTATACTTTCAGCGTAGGGAGTCGGAGCTCCGTAGTAGAAGTTCACCTGAGACCCGTTCTGATCCGTCGCTGGGGTTAAGAGTTTCTTTGGTTCTTTCCTGCGATGAGATCTACACAAAAACAGTTAGAACGCGACTTAATCAACGATTGTGTATTACCTTGCACAGATCATCCAAATCAAAAGCACAATTATGATGATTATCACAACTGCTAGGGCGATTCCTGTGGCGATGTAAGCGAATTCCGACTTCTCCGTGCAGTGCCTTCCAGTGAAACTACCGATGCATCTACAGGAAGGTTGCCCTCGGACATCCTTCACACAAGTCCCGTCGTTATCGCAATAACCGTCGCACACATCGATGCATTCCTTGCCAGTACCGTTGAACCCGGGTTTACATTCACATTTAAAGTCGCTGGTCTCGGGGATCAGCAAACAATAAGCGTTAGGGTCGCAATGCATTTCAGGCCCGTTCATCTCACAAGGATTAGTACACTCAGCTTTACTGGTCTACAATAATACGTAACACGTTTATTTTAATTTAAAACCAGAAGTTGGAACTTACCGCAGCTGTACTCTTCGTGCTCGTGTTCGGCGGACAAGGAATACAAGTCGTTTGTTGCGATTCCGACTGGAAGAAACCCTTCTTACAAGCGATGCAGCTGTTCAAGGTACCGTTTAGGTACGTTCCAGGGGAACACACCGGCAGCGAACACTCCTCGATGGTCATGCCGCCCGATTTAGGTGTCGTTCGCCCTAAGGGACAACCCTGACAGGCTGCTTGTATTCCTTGGGTCCTGTACGTTCCACGAGGACAAGCCTCACATTTACCGTCTAGGGCCAGTTGCATGCCGCTTTCACACTCATCGCGGCACTCTTTCTGTGAAACAGCTTCGCTGGTACGAGTTGTTTTACCCAATCCGCAAATTTGACAAGAGAATGAACCTTCCTCGGGTTGGTAGAACCCGTGGCCGCAGCTGCGACACAACCCGGCGTCGTGGTCGTAGTATTTTCCAGCGGGACAACGTTCTATAATTTTATGATTGTAAAATGTAAGTACTTGGAAGATAATTGACAACCTTTGCAGTCAGCGGCGCTGCGGGCTCCTACTCCGACAGTGACTCCAGGGCGGCCTGCAATTGCCGGACACTGGATACATTGCAGTTGACCTGCTTCGCTCTGGTATGACCCTTGAGGGCACGGCGAGCACGTTTTCGTTTTCTTATCGTAGTACGTTCCAATAGCACAAGGGACACAATCTGGAGCCATCACGACTTGTCCCACAGGACAGGCGTAGTCAGATTCCAGAAGCAAAGATGATGGGTCTGGTACAGTATTCGGTAAAATATCGCGCACGTCGAATTGGTCCTCCTCCAGAATGAGTTTCTCCAACAAGATTTTAACCGATGATCGCTCATTGGTGTTTGAGTTGACCACAGGGTCGCTAAAAACACCCACCGTTAGTTTTCGTGTTACGAGTAGTGGAAGTGAATGAAATTTATGACCGTGCATGCATGTAAACGGGGTGCTTACTTTACTGCCGGGAAGGAGATGTCAATGTTGTAGGTGTCGCTTGATGATTGCCGTCCTTGGCGAGCAGTTCTACAATAGACAGGACATGCTATTCTACACATTCAACTAACTACCTGATACTAAAACAACCATGCACTAATACAGACTGAAATAATGATAAAATGACTGAGATTGATCACCATGCTACGATGCTAAAAGTTTACGTCAAACTACTTGAAGAGTCGTCGAGCCTAAAAAACTGAGACACGTAATTCTATCAAGTACTTACTTTTCAACAGGAACGCTGGCGTTAATGACGTAGGTACCACCGTCATCGTCGTCATTCGCTTGTCTAACCTGTCTGCTGGTCCTGTGGTCACACTTAACGTCAATACCCAATTCTTTGCATTCCCGCGTTCCTTCCACCGAGAACGAGCAGAAGTTCCAGTCTCTGTTCAGACTGTTAACAGCGTTGCGGACTCTTTGTCGTAGAACTCCCTGGCCGGCCTCGTTACAAAGAACGGAGCTTGGGAACAACATCGAGATTTTGAAAACGCGCTGCGCCGGTTTGGATGCTGCTTGAGTAAAAATGATTCAGTTCGCGACTCTCTAAACCTGAAGGTACTTACGGGAACACGCGGGGTACACCATGGGAAGATTCGGGTTGGCGGTCGGTCTCCAGAAACCTTCGCCTCCACAAGTGTAGAATTTGGGTATTTCTTGTGAAAAGCGCAGGCCTTGATTGCAGGCGATTTCGCACACTTTGAATTGGCCTCCCGCTCCCCAGTCTTTACAGGTTTGGACGCCTCCAACAGGATCCGGAAGTTCGGGACAGAATTCAGCTGGAATCAAACACACAGTTAGGGAAGGTTTCTTTATGTGAAAACAACTTACAGAGTACGGAGACTTTGAAGCTACACGTTGCTGAATTACCAGCTTCGTCTAGTGCGACGTAGGCGATTTGGTACATGCCCCATAGAAGCGTCTGTCCAGGCCTGTGGCCACTCTTCTCTAGTATTTTCACGACGCCGACGTTATCACTGAAGTGAGGTTCATCCCATGACACGAGAGCCGACCCGTTTCTTGTAATAATCCATAAATCTCCAGGACAGTATTCAACCTTAGGAGCAATCTTATCCACTTGTAATTCTAGACACTTGGCGCCGACGTAGCCGGGAGCACAGATCCGTTGTCCACAGTGTGAAGGTACTATTCGTTCGACACCTCCAATAGTGTCTTCGTAGCCAGCCCAGGTCAGAATCAAACCTCTGTATAGAACGGGTTCCGTTCGACAATCTCTGACTTGCTTTTGTACTTCGTTGGTAACGTCTAAAGCCCGTCCCCATATCTGTACTTTAGTTAAGTGACCTTGGAAGCCTGATTCTGTGTAAGCTTTGGGATTGCCGGATTGAGGTTTACCTAACGTAACCCACGCACTATAAAAAAGGACGTTAATGGAAGCAGTGGGTGAAGCGAATTGACTTACTATTCTGGTAATTTGCGTCCGCTGCCATACCCATCTACTTTACTAGCTATTAAACCTTCAGTGATTAGTTTGAGTTCTCCGCCATTTTCACCGTCCCACATGATGGCTATGTGGTGCCACTGTGCGTCATTCACGGTTGTGTAGTCGCGGTAACTCAAGTACACGTCTTGTAGGTCTGGGAAAATGGAAACCTGAACGCCGTTTGAGTGGGCTTGAATTAGAGGTCTTCGGTCTTTTGGAATATGCTTGGATCTACGAAGTAACTTTTAATACAAGGACTGGGGTACTTTGAATACATACGTGACGCTGTACAAGGTGAAGAAAATCCCGTTTTCGTCTTTCTGTGTGAACTGTACCCACATTGCTATCGTGAGACTGGATTTAGACCCTGTATAGAATGGTATAGATTGTGAAGCGGAACTTCGAGTGGCGTCGCTGAAGTACAAATCGTAGTCCACAGATATTGCTGAAATGGGTGTATGTAAATATTAAGTGATATACAATAAACGAAGTATTTACTCTTTCTGCAGTCCTCGCCGGTTAGATTGAACGGACACTGGCAGTAGAATCGGTCCGTCAAATCAATACAAGTGGCGCTTGGTGGACACGAATTCTCTTTACAATCAGCGATATCTTCCTCGCAGTATTTGCCGGTGAACCCTGGTGCACACACACACTTGAATCCAAACGGATTATTCGTGCACGTTGCTCCGTTTTTACAAGCGTTTGACTGACACGCGTCGTATTCGTACTGACATCCCACACCGGTGAAACCATCAGAGCAAGAACAGTTGAGACCTGAGCCGAAGTCTTGGCACTTTCCACCATGCATGCAAGGGTTTCCAATGCAGCGTTCGGGCGCCGTTTCACATTGTTTTCCGTCGGTTCCCGATGGACATCTACAATTTTAACAAGGCTAAATTTCGATTGGGTTACCTATTTGATGATACGTACACGCAGAAGTAGTCTTGGAATAGATCGATGCAGTTGGCATCGTTCTGGCACGGTCTAGTTTGGCAGCTACCAATGTCTACTTCGCAGTTAATTCCAGTCCATCCTGGTTGACACACGCACCTGTAGGAACCCACTTCGTCCCTACAGGAGCCTCCGTTAAGGCAAGGATCAGATTTACAGTCGTCTATGTTTTCTTCGCAGTGCGTTCCAGAGTAACCTTCGTGGCACATACACACGAATTTGTTATCCAAGTCGACGCACCTTTCCGTGCCTATTGGGTTACAAGGGTCACTTAAGCATTCGTCGATTTCCGCTTCACACTGTAGACCAACAAAACCAGGTCTGCACTTGCAGGCGAAGCCATCCACCAAGTCCGTGCAACTAGCCCCATTTTGACAAGGTTCCGAAGAACAAAAATCAATGGTATGTTGACATTTCTTTCCAGTAAAGCCTGGTTCACATGTACATGTAAAGTCGTTGACTTCATCTAGGCAATGACCACCGTTTTCGCACGGATTTTGGGCACAATCGTTTATATTGGAGTCACAAGCTTCTCCGGTCCAGCCCGGATTACAAACGCATTCGTGGTAGAACAATCTATCCACACAAACACCATTTTTGCATGGTCCGCGTCCACACAAATCGATTTTATCTTGACACCTTTTTCCCGTAAACCCAGCAGGGCAGCTGCAAGTAAAGTCGGCCACTAAATCAGTGCAGTTCGCTCCTAGTAAACAAGGTTTCTCCGCACAGTCGTCGATGTTAATATCGCAAGTCTGACCTTCCCAGCCGGGTAAACATTCGCACATAAATCTGCCTTGTTGTAACGCGATGCAAGTTGCACCGTTATTGCACGGGTTACCAGAAGCGCTGCAAGGGTCAATCTGAAAATGAATAATGAAATAAAATTGAAAGAAAATTGCAGAGGAGGAAATACCGTAATGTCGCAGTCTCTTCCAGTATAACCAGATCGACACAAACAAGTATAGTTATTATAACCGGGCTCATCTTTACACATGGCACGTTCTGGACATGTATCATTCCTACAATCTGACCTTTCCTCTTGGCAGTTAATGCCGGCATAACCGGGAGCGCATTGACATCTATAACCCTGAGGCAAATCGATGCAAGTACCACCGTTATAACACGGCTGTGACGAACATTCGTCAATGTCAATTTCGCAACGTCTTCCTGAAAATCCAGCGGGGCAAATACACTGGATGTTGTGACCCAGGGGAACGCAGAGGCCACCGTGTTGACACGCATTTTCGGTGCACTGGACGGGGTGACACTCATCTCGGCCAGCAGCACCAGGTCCTTCGGTTTTCATGTTCGTGGGACATTCGTTGCATGTGGTTTGTCCAGGAAGGGATTGGTAGAAGTCGCGTGGGCACAGAGAGCAAGGGGCTAATCCAGTTGGGGAGTAGTGGCCGGGGCTACATTTAGGTCTGCAACGATCCTTCCCAGGAGCCGCCGGTTGATAAGTGAAAGTATTGGCAGGGCAAGCTTGGCAGTCTTTGAACCCTCCGGTAGGTGGTTCACTGGTGAAACTATTACGAGGACACTCCAAACAAGGTACTAATCCAGTTGGTGAATAGGTGCCGTAACCACAGACTGGAATACAGTCATGCAGACTCTTGGATCCTTCTTCACGAGTGTAGGTTCCTTGGGGACATCTGTTGCAGGAACCTTGACGATCGCGGTTCTGGTAGTATCCCCGAGCACAGTAGGTACACTCTTTTTGTTTTTCGCCGGCGAATGTTCCAGCGGGACAGTGTACTAATTTAATTCATTAGTAACAATGTGAGGGTCAAAGAAACGAATACTTACAGCATCGAGGGACGTCGTTGGTGTCCATGTTCAGTACTTCACCGACGCTGCAGGTGAATCCCCGAATGTTGCTCGAGTTTAAGGCTTTCAATGGAGGACACTGGTTACCTATGGCCGATACATTAAGTAAAGGTTCAATCACAGCATTGGCGTATGGCACGGACAAGTCAAACATTAGGTTCAATGTGCTTCCGCAAAGATCGTAGATTTGGGGTTGACGAATAACCGGAACTATATTCAAAATGTAGTCAATTTTGACCACATTTTCTTTAATTAGAGCGGCTACTGCCTTCAGGAACGACACGTTCATTTTTACGTTGACGGCAGAACACTTCTCTGATAATACGTTGTTGAGATTTGTGTAATACTGGCCGATTAAATCTGTGTATTGGTTTAGGCACGATGTAGCAACTGCACCGTTTGCTCGGTAGTTAACCGTTGCAGTGACGTGGTAGTCAGCTTGTTGAGTATCTAAAACAACGACAATATAGTAATTAGTCTCCCGCCACTGGGTACCTACTTTCAGAAACACAATCAGGTACTACAGAAGTAGGAGTCCATGGGGTCTTAGCATCGCACGAAAATGTTTTGACCGGGTCACCATCCGTAAACCTATAGCCTGGATTACATGTAGCAATACACTGCAAACCTTTATCACCAGGTAAACAATTTAAAGCACCGTTAACTGGTGGTTTTAGCTCCCAGTCAACGCACGGTGTTGCTTGAACGGACACTTGGAAGTGACAAGAAGCTTTATTTCCGTACTTGTCAGTGGCTACAACGGTTACATTTTCGAAGGTTCCAATGGTAATGGTAGCTTTATCCGGGATGAAAGTTACACGAACTTCTCCAGAGTCGTCCGTTGTGTTAATTCTACGGCGTGTTTCGTTAAAGTTAACGGCGTAACTGTCTTGTCGGTCCACTAATTCGATGACATAGCTTTGAGGACAACTCAATTTTGGTGGAGTGTTATCTATAATTGTGGATTGACTAAGTGTACGGGTATTAAACCAGATTTAGCAGCATACCTGGAACGGTGATGTTGATTTCACAAATGGCAACATTGCCATCGTAATCAAAGGCAACGTATTTAACTACTGTATCTTGAAAAACATGTATGGGAGTTCTAAAGTTCGCCGGTTTAACTTCAAGACGAGCGATGCTTCCGGAATTGTCAACAGCTGTAGGTTCTGTGAAGTTGACAGGAAGAAGTCCACCGTTGGCATCTTTTTGTACTACGATAGGTTGCTGAGGACAGTTTTGGAAAACGGGCGTTTCGTTGTCTAAATTTAGAAAATATTAAAACTCGAAAAGATTAACACTTGCTGATCTTACCAACACACGGGGAATATCCATAATCGTATCCCAGAAGCGGCTCTGCATCTATTTCGTCACAACCCATCAGTTCAAATTTCAAGCACGCATTATCCATATAGCTGACGATCCCCAATATAACAAACCTAGCTTGGACATATTTTGGTAACGAAATCATCGCCAGTTCTCCAAAGTTTCCAGGATCCCTCATCGTCAGATTGAAATTGGGGAAATAAACAACATAGTTTTCATTTTCTGCTTGCTTATAGAAGAATCTGATCTCAGTCGGTCTACCGACAATATCATTGGTAACCACACCTTTGACTAGAATAGCTTTAACTCGATACACTTTTCCCAAATCGACGCTCACGTAAGTGAAAGCTTCTTGTTTACCACACCATCCAGTCACTGAATTCAATCTAACATTTCTGGCTTCGTAGTTAGGTCTTTCACTAGTCGCATTGATAGCCGAGTCGGGAATTCTCCCGGAGGCTAATCCCAGGGGTCTTACGACCTTACACTCGGGATTTCGAACGCAAGTAATGGGTCTGGGGTTGATTAAAATGTAACCAGGTCTGTTACAACTGAAGCTAACTTCGGAGCCTTGTTCGTAACTTTTTGAAATTTGGTGACCGTCACTTGGACGACCGGGGTCTTCACATACGGGTCCTTCGCAACGTAGGTCACCGAAATCCCATACTCCGTTAGCTTGACAGCGGACGATGTTGTCGTGTTTGCTGCTTTGTCCGGCTAATTTGAAGGTGTTTTGACAACCGAAGAAAAAGGAAGATTGGTACTTAGTGTCAACGTATTTTCCATATTCGGCACCGGGAGTTGGTGGTGGAAGACCGCAGTCGACTCTGGGGCATGAAGGTGACGCACCACTTAGCCAGTAGTCGGGGAAACCCTAAACAGACAAGTTAATTTTTTGTTCCGTGAGAGAACGTGTAGAAATACCGGTTTCGGATCGTAGACGCACTGCCTAAAACTAGCCGTGTACGTTCCTCGCAATTTTCTACCAGTGCTACCACAATTCAAGGTAACGTTTTCTCTAAAAGGTACCAAAACGCTACTTTCGTCGGCCCGGAGGATTTTCAAACCTTCGTTTTTGTCGTCAGGTAGCGAAACGCATTGAGCATCTAAGTAAGATTAAAATTAACCAATTGTAAGACGTTAGTGATAAAAATACTTACAGGAACACTCGGGCATGGATCCATTCCAGCTTCCAGTGGAGGTACACAACAGTGCTGACGATCCCGACAAAACGTACCCAAAGTTACATTGGAACCTAACCAGATCACCGAAATGGTATTTTTCTTTGGTTGATAAGAGGAGTCCATTTTCGGGGGCGCTCAAACTGGGACACATCACAGGAACACACGATTTGTTTACTTGATGTGTATCACCGTCTCGCAAACCATTTTCACTTTTTTCAATCAAGTAAGCTGCGGTTCCATTACGTGTGTACAATTCGAAGCCTACATTACAGCTACACGAGAAATCACCAGCACTGTTAACACACTTTTGATCACAACCGCCGTTGTTAACAGCGCACTCGTTGATGTCGGCACACTCGAGTCGGGTGCAGCCCATAATTTCAAGTTTCAAACAGGGAGCTCCCACGTAATCTTGCACTTTGAACTTTATGTACTGGGCTTCAATGGGAACCGGGAGGTTGAGAATGGACAGGGTAGGTTCCAAGATTCTGAACTCCACGGCTGTGCCGTCTGGGTTGCGGTAATCTTTAAAAACGTCAGTCAGGTCGTCGGTGTATTGAATTCGCACTGCGGAAGTGTAGGCGAGAGTGTCATCAGGGCGTGGTACACTGGTTGTTCTGAACCCTCGTATAATTGTTGGAGCTTTCAAATCGATGAGAACCCAGTTGGAACCACCTTCGATGGTGTTTCCGCACCAGCCCACGCCGCTGTTCAAACGGACCATCTAGAAAGTAGGAAAGGTAGGTTTTGCAAATATTAATTTAAGTGGAGGATGTTACCGTTTTGTCGTATCCTGGTTCGCTACTAGAGACCATAATTGCTTCATCTGGAATGCCTCCATTAGTAAGACCCAGATCTCCCACTGGTCTACATTCCAATGTAGGAGCGAAACCTTTCTTGCATTTGCAGTAGAAGGAACCCGCGGAGTTGATACACTCCGTCGATGCGCCATCACACTGGCTGCTAATACATTCATTAACATCTTCGCATTTAGGTGGATTATTAAAAAGTTGGTTCTCTCCGCATCGGATGATGTTGGTACCAACTAATTTGTACCCTTTGTAACATTGTACCCGCGCTTCGTCATTAAAATAGTACGTTCGTGAGGCGTCGGTGAAGAACCCGTTTTTGATTTCCGGAAATTCTGGACACTTTGCTCCTACAATTAACATTCAAAGACGAGCTATAAACATATTTTCAAGTGCTTACTCGAACACGTTGGCACCTCTCCAGACCAAGTGCCATTACTCATACATAAAATTACTGGTGGTCCAGTTCTTATGTAGCCTGGTTCGCACTCGTAACGCACTATGGTTCCGTAAGAACGACCTTGCCCATTCAATACGGTAACATTGGCATGCGGAACTTCCGGTAGTGCGGCACACTGCGAAGCTAAAGACACTTTTATAAACGAGCTGAAAACATATTGAAATTACCTACCGAGACAGTTTGGTTTTTTCTCCCAGCGACCGTCCGCAAGACAGGATATTTTTTCGATCGGTTGTCCCGTTGGAAACGCAAAACCAGCGTAACACTGGTACATAGCTTGTCCACGGTACGTCACATTTGTCGAACCGATGGAGAAACCGTTGTCAATCTGTGGAACTGGTCCACAGTACACTTCCTGACATTTGGGGATGTAGCTCACAGACCAGTTTCCACCAGGCATACACTGAGTGGTTATTCGGTTACGCCCGGTTGCAAATTCTTGTCCAGTGGGGCAATTAAATGTTATGATGGTACCGAAAGCGGTATCTCTACTTGATGCCATAGCACCAACACCGGGTTGCAATTGAGGACAATCTTAAAAATAGCATGAACTAAAAATTTTCATTATTTTGAGATTCTTACCGGCGGAGAAAGTGGCCATCCAACCTTCACTGTTGTGTAAAGCGTCAGTTGTAAATCGCACCAACATTTCGCCACTTGATGCAGTAAGTGTAATTTTGGGTTTAGAGGCTGCCGTAAAGCCGTTTCCGGCATGGAGTCGTAAACCGCTGGTTGTGGCACCATCGTAAACTTGCACAAAGTCGGATTTATCAACCTCGAAATTGTCAAAGTTCAGTGATAATGGACCTCCTCCTGGGTTTCTAATTTTGTACAAACAATCTTGATTGCTGGGATAGTTGCTTAAACCGTACGCTGGCGACATTAATGTACCATTACGGGCCACAATGGTAGCTCTACAACCTTGAGTGTAACGTATTCTGAAGCCCCGGTTAGAATCACCGAGACTGGTCTTGAAATACAAGTATAGTTTGTTGTTGGTTGAAATAACCACTTTTTGATTATTTTCGGAGTTTCCTGTGAGACGTGCAATAGGTTGATTTTTGGGAGAGTCTCCATCCCGGACAAGAATATAGTCCCTGATGTTATCTAAATCTAAATCGTCGATTTCTAGAGTAATAATTCTACCACTCTGAGCTTGAATAATGTATAAGCATTCAAGTCCACCCGGATACTGTTCTGGATACCCCGGGGAAGTCAGTACTTGTGGTTGTGGGGTCGCTCTTAATTTTCCACCGCACGTCTGAGGTTCCGTCTTCCACGACGCTCTAAACCCTTTTCGCTCAACCGACGCGTCAGTACTAAACTTAATAATCATGAAATTCGACGCAGAAACGAACGACCTATTCGTCAAATCCTGTTTCCCAGACAGAGTAGCTAAATTAACGGAGGTATCTTCAGTCCTTCCTCCGACTAAAATTTGTACTGTATCAAAAGTCTTTTCGGTCTCGAATTCTTGGAACTGTAGAAGAATGTTGTGACCTTGTGGACCTTCAAGGGTCCATTTACAATTCGTAAGGGGTGCGTATTTGTGTGGATAATAGGGGCTTTCAACCACGTCTCCGCTGCTGGCTAAGTAGTAGTTACAGTTTGCTGCACAGTCTAATTCGTCGGAACTATCTCCACAGTCGTCTTGTTTGTCGCATCGAAATTTTTCGTTGATGCAGTTACCGTTGGAACAATGGAACGATCCTGCAGGACAGGCCTTGGAGCGGCACATGAAAGGGAGGAGGCTTTCGCAGGTGGTGAGTTCCCAGGATTGAGACTCTTCGGTGACGGCGACGTCGACGCACTCTCCGGCTTTGGAGTCGGGTTGGTGGCGCGACCAGAAACCTGTGGTGACGAAGTTGTAACAATAGATCTAAATCATTTTAAAAGAAAAATGTGTGAACAAATGAGTATGTCATTGTGTGAAAATGATTGGGAAGCTATTGTTGCAAGCAATTTAGGTACATTATCTTTCAAGTTAACGTCCTTCAAACAGCACGCACCACTACAAAGTACAAGCAATGTTGAATGTTTACAGATGTAGTGATGTTGAGTGACAATGGGACTAAATTAAACCTGCAGGATAGATAAGCGAACAATGTTGTCATTTCTACATATTTATGACTAATAAAGTTAATTAGCTTGGTGTATTTTATTTTTCTTCTCTTTAGTACTCCCACTGTTCTCTCACGATAAAAACACTACACCTCAAAGTGCTTTCTTTATGGGAAACTTTTATGGCAAGTAAGAATGAACATGGAGGAGTATTCGAGAATCCTCAGGAAGTTGTAGGTTTTCGATTGTTTCCTTTCAATCGGGCGATTAAATATCAGTGCGATGAATGAATCACGACAGACCCTAGAAACGTTTCAAGTGTCAAGTTAAAAATGGATGGGTTTAGCAAGCCAAAATCTGTAGCAGGAAAAACAAAGAATTTGGACATCACTTGGCTTCGGACACATTTAACACATTTTCGATAGAGTTATAAAACATTTTGAAACCGGACCACTTTTAGAGGTGGAGAGCAAAACACAACCTACTGATTCTTCGAATCCAACGGTTGATAATGACGTTCTAGAACATGCATATGGAAATATGATCTCTGTGGCAAAAAAAAAGGCAATAATTCTTGAGATATGTATTTATGTTGCACTATGCTGTTCAAGAAATAAAGAAACTATAAATTGAAGGTTTTGGTATTAAATTAAGATAATATGTAGTATTTATAGAAAAACTTTAACTAATCGTAGTTATTATGATACCACTAAAGAGTATATATCGATCATTTCTTAGTAAAAGCTAATTAATACGTATCTCGTTGTAAATAAGGGGTTATTAGTTGGAATTTTAAGATGTGTTCTTGGTTAATGAACTTATTTCCGGATCAAATCTACAGGGGTTCATTAGTCTACTTTGAAATTCATATTTAAATATCAGGAAAGTAGTACCTTGTTAAACGTTTCAAAAGTAACATTAAAATGATTATTAACAAAATGTTATAAAAAGAAAAAATTTTTGCACAAGCAGGCAAAAAAAAATAAAATTGTGACCCTGGAAAGTGGTAAATTAATTCATGAAGCTATAAAAATCACAACCACGAAGAAGATGGAAGAAAATTAACGTAACAACTAATTACCAAGTTAAAAATGCAAGGCTGCAAAAATATGTGGGAAAGACCTTCAACTGACAATTAGAAATGATGTGGACAGCATCGGGAATAATATCTGCAACGCTAGGAGATGAATAGATTCAATGATCACATAAAACAGCTTGTGCTGAAGCCTACTGAGTCGATATCTGACTTTAAAACACGTATTTTCTAACCAATAACAACGGCAGGTTCAAGATCGGATGGTAAATTCCCGATTTCCAGATGGACCCAATCACCCCTGCTGGGATGTTCTGTCTGAAGTAATTTGAAAGAATCTTGAGGACTCATTGAGTTTTGCTTTTGTAGTAGTTTGAAAAAATCTCAGGGATCCCGCGTCTTGTTTTTGAAGTAATCTGAAAGAATCTGGGGTTCCTTGGGTATTGTTTTTGAAGTATGTTGTTTAAAAGAATCTCGGACGCTCCTTGTGTTTGTTTTTGAAGTAGTTTGAAAGATTTTCGGGGACTTCCTGTGGGCTTTGTTTTTGAAGTAAGTAATTTGAAAGAATTTCGGGGACCCCTTTGGTTTTTTGAAGTGTGTTATTTGAAAGAACCTCGGATACCTCCTGCGGATCTTGTTTTTGGAGTAGTTTAAAAGAATCTCGGGAAGCCCCAATAGGTCTTGTTTTTGAAGTAATGTGAAAGAAACTCGGGGATCCCTTCTCGCTGATTGTTGATGTACCTGGGTGGAAAGAATCTCGAAGACCGCTTGTAGGTCTTGTTTTTGAAGTAATGTGAAAGAATCTCCCCGTGTGTTTTGTTTTTGAAATAGTTTTAAACACCCTCGTGGATTCCTTGTCTTGTCTTTGAAGTAATTTTAAAGAGTCTCGGGAAGCCCTTCTGTTTTGTTTTTGAAATAGTTTGAAAGAATCTCGAGGAGTCTTTGGGTCTGATTTTTGAAGCAATTTAAAAGAATTTCGGGGATCTCTTTCTTGATTTTGAAGTAATTTAAAGCAATATTGGGAACACCCTTTGGGTTTTGTTTTTGAACTAATTTGAAAGAATCTCGGGGACTTTTTGTGTTTTCTCGTCGAAGTAGTTTAAAAGAATTTCGAGGAACCCTTTTCTTGTTTTTGAAGTAATTTGCAAAAAATTAGGGTATCCCTTGTGTTTTGTTTTTGTAGTAGTTTGAAAGAATCTCGGAGACTCCCCGTGGGTTTTGTTTTTAAAGTAATTTAAAAGCATCTCGGGAAGCCCCTGGAGGTCTTGTTTTTGAAATAATTTGAAAGAATCTCGGAACGTTGTGGCTGGTTGTTGAAGTACCTAGTTTGAAAGAATCTTGGAGACCCCTTGTAGATCTTGTTTTTGAAGTAATGTGAAAAGATCTCGGGAACCCTGTGTGTTTTGTTTTGAAAAGTTTGAAACAACCTCGCGGATTCCTTGTCTTGTTTTTGAAGTAATTTGAAAGAGTCTCGGGAATCTCTTGATTTGAAGTAATTTGAAAGAGTCTCGGGAATTTCTTTATTGATTTTGAAGTAATTTAAAGGAATGTCTTAAACACCCTATGGGTTTTGTTTTTGAAGTAATTTATAAGAATCTCGTAGACCCTTGGGTTTTGTTTTTGAAGTATGTAATTTAAAAGAATCTCGGGGACTCCTTGTGTTTGTTTTTGAAGTAGTTTGAAAGAATCTCGGGGACCTTCTGTGGGTTTTGTTTTTTAAGTAATTTGACAGAATTCCGAGGATCCCTTAGGTTTATTTTGAAGTATGTAATTTGAAAGAATCTCGGAGATTCCCTGTGGGTCTTGTTTTTGGAGTAGTTTGAACAAATCTGGGGAAGCCCCTGTAAGTCTTATTTTTGAAGTAATTTGTAAGAATCTCGGGGACCCTTCGGTTTTGTTTTTGAAGTATGTAGTTTAAAAGAATCTCGGAGACTCCTTGTGTTTGTTTTTGAAATAGCTTGAAAGAAGATCGAGGACCTTCTGTGGGTTTTGTTTTTGAAGTAATTTGAAAGAATTCCGAATACCCCTTAGGTTTTTTTTGAAGTATGTAATTTGAAAGAATCTCGGAGATCCGCCGTGGGTCTTGTTTTTGGAGTAGTTAATCTCGGGAAGTCCTTGTAGGTCTTATTTTTGAAGTAATTTGAAAACATCTCGGGAACTTCTTGTATCTGGTTTTTGAAGGAGTTTGAAAGAACTTCGGGGATCTCTTTTTTCATTTTGAAGTACTTTGAAAGAATTTCGAGTAGTTCTTGTGTTTTGCTGTTGAAGTAGTTTTAAACAACCTCGCGGATTCCTTGTTTTGTTTTTGAAATAATTTGAAAGAGCCTCGGGAATCTCGTTCTTGATTTTGAAGTAATTTGAAAGAGTCTCGGGAATCTCGTTCTTGATTTTGAAGTAATTTGAAAGAGTTTCGGGAATTTCTTTCTTGATTTTGAAGTAATTTAAAGGAATCTCGGAAACACCCTTTGGGTTTTGTTTTTGAAGTAATTTGTAAGAATCTCGGGGACTCTTGGGTTTTGTTTTGAAGTATGTAGTTGAAAAGAATCTTGGGGACTCCTTGTGTTTGTTTTTGAAGTAGCTTGAAAGAATCTCGGGGACCTTCCGTGGGTTTTGTTTTTGAAGTAATTTGAAAGAATTTCGAGGGCCCCTTAGGTTTTTTTTAAGTATATATGTAATTTGAAAGAATCTCGGAGATTCGCTTTGGGTCTTGCTGTTGGAGCAATTTGAAGGAATCTCGGGAAGTCCCTCCTGTAGGTCTTGTTTTTGAAGTAATTTGAAAGAATCTCGGGGACTTCTTGTGTCTGGTTTATAAAGGAGTTTGAACGAATTTCGGGCATTTGAAGTAATTTGAAAGAACTTGAAGTAATTTGAAAGAATTTCAAGTACTCCTTGTGTTTTGTTGTTGAAGTAGTTTTAAACATCCTCGGGAATCCCTTGTTTTATTTTTGACGTAATTTAACAGAATTTTGGAAACCCTTTGTGTTTTTTGTTTTTGGAGTAGTTTGAAAGAATCTTGAGGACCCCTTGTATTTTGATTTTGAAATAGTTTAAAAGAAGAAGAAGAAATTTTACCTGATTTAAAAGTATATAAAATTTAGATTCGGGTACCGTCTCTCCGATTTACTGCGGCTACTAACGCCTCTAAAAATTCCAGATTTCACACGCTTTTATTAATGCATTTGGTCGTCGATTCTAGAATAGAACTTACACCCATTGAATATAAACCACCCGTTGGGTACAAGTTTGCGGTCGGTCCGGAATTTCAGTGGGGTTTGCCCATGGAATGAAAGGCGAAAGGAATGAAAGAATTATGGGCCTGAATTTATGTACGCCCAATTTACAAGCAGAAGAGCTCTTTCAGTTTATTTATTTTTTCACTTGATTGTCTACTACATTTTTTATTTTATTTTGGGCTGATTCAGCGATAACTATATAAATGTCCTTTAGAAGTTTCATTTACACTCTCCAAATCGAGGTATGTGCCCCCAGGTACCCTCTGCTCATTTTTATGTCATTAACATTAGTAAGCATAAAAATATTTCCATATATGTATAATTTTTACATAAATATGTATAATATATGAAAATAAAATTTTACAAAATTGAAGAGGAGATGAAAAACAATTGTATTTTATGATTTAAAAAATTAACATAATGGTAAATTTTTTTAACACAACATGTCAATAAGTTTTAATAGGTTGCCAGAAGTTAAATTGAACTTACCAGAATATTGGGAAACTAGGGTCCCCGCCGCAGATTCTAGTGTGTTAGTTCGGAGGTCATCCAGAGATGCCAAACCCAACCAATAATGGCTGACCCCTCGTCGTTCTATAGGCACTGAAGCTGTGGCGAGTGTGGCAGTTAAATTGTTTTCTCCATAGGATTCCACTGACATCAAGTCACTGCCATACCTACAACAAAGATCATTGTATTTTTCCCTTTATTAACCTCGATCGCGGTACAAAATGAACGCACTAATTATCTCGACGTTTGATCATTATTAATAATTCAGAAATTAATTTGTTCGACTCTTGTAGCAACTAGTACGGCGTATTCAATTGTTTAAGACGCAAACTTCTGTCGTTATTGAGGCCACTACACAAAGAATAATTTATTTTGAAAAATCTCAGCGACCTGCATATTCTAATTACGTGTTATCTACAGTATCGAGCACATTCTTCGATAAAAATTTCGACTAATCGACTTCAGGGCGTCCAACATATTTAAGTGGGTCTCAGCATCGACCAGACTTACAGGTGCAGTAATTATTTGTCCGATGTTATTTATGCCTGGGGCTACCACGGATTTTTCTACCATCAACTTATGGAGGTCCACGTGTCTAATCGACAGCATTTACTCATCGTAGCGAGTTTTTTTCCTTTGGTGTTGTTGCTGTCATTAATATTTTTGTCCCCATTGTGTGGTAAGTCCTTATGATGTTATATTGTCATCGTGCATACCAACGTCTAGGAGTGGCATATTTTTTAATCAAATGATTCTAATTATGACTAATTGAAACCTTGCCGTTATATTTCGATCCAGCAATTATCATTAGAGTGCATTTTAGTGCTATGAAAGGAATAATTGCTTTTGTAATAATCTTACCAAACAGAGCGGTTCGCAGGTTTGTTTCAAAATGTTTAATTAGTGCACAGATATCTGCATGGACAAGTGAGAAATTAAGTAGAAATAATAACTGACCCAAATAGCTATAGTTTGAATTTCATATTTTTATGAATTGAGCGATTTGGCTAGTTCCGGGTACTACGATCCGAATCCAAATTGTATGTTAATACAGTCTACTTTAATATGTAGCAGATTTTCTCGCGTGGTATTTACCAAAGTCAAAAATTGGTCAAATTCTTTCATAAAAATTCCTCGGCTCACTTCTACTATTTCCAATGAATGTCGCATAACCGGAAAAGCCTATACTTTCTAATCAAACCAAATACCCAATCCACCAAGTAAACAATACCTAACAGCAAAAATCGTTAACACTAATCACTTGACGTGTTAAACACTGCCTCAACTAATTATGACAGTGAATTACCAATACATTATGTAGGCCACTGGAGTCACGAAACTTTAAGTTAAAATTTGTACTGTTCTGATTATTTCAGCTCGCACGATTGCCGACAAAAGTTACAAAACATTTTGTTTTTTCACATGGGAGATTACGTTTTCAGTGTAATGATCCATTGAATGACAGAAGTGAGCGTCTTCTTGCCAAATTATTTAGCACTTTTTTAAACCATTCACGTTGTAACAGATCGCAAACGTGTGACAATGTGAGACCAATGAACTTAGATATTTGAACATTCAGTCCAAAGAGGTATTTCACGAATTCCGTTAGACCGCATTGTTTGAAACTTTGTTTTGAAGAGTGGAAATCCATCAAGTGACACTGACCTTCTGCAAAGCTCTGCTGCCTTTTCCCAAGAATGCCTGATGTTGAAAAACTTATAACAATGGAGACCTCTGATTTCCCATCCTGCAACAAACAAGTGATATATTTAGTTAGAAGTCTTCAAAGCCTTAAAACTAGTTGTAAGTCAAACTGTTATGTTTGACATAAAATTCGCGAAACCAGGTTTCTGATAAAAACGTAGTGTGTAATACACCTTAATTGCTCTCGTAATACAGCTGAAATTAAAACAGTAATTATTTTCACGCTTACGCACGCTAACCTATAAACGTGTCACCGCTTTTCTTGCTATTAAACCCATTTTGAGCAAGTTTTCGATAAATTATCGCACAATGTCTTTGTTCATATTAATGCAATCATTCCTATTCTTAAATATTATGTAAGGCGTTTTTTCTCAGTTATTGTGATGTAACTTCATGATCGTCTTCGTGCAATTGTGAAGACAATGCTGTTCTCCTTCGAAGTAGGTTTTTCTGTTGCAGACTAGGTTAAAATGTATAAATATTTAACAAGACTTTCTTATTTTATGTATTGATCATTCATGAAGAATAGTGACAGCACCTGACAAAATTAAGCAATTGTGGAAAGTAGAAAAGTGGAAGAATACGCATTTAAATTTTAATTGGAATACGTAGAAAAATTACATTGTATTGATGTCATGTTCTGTCTTGTAGGTGAAATATTTGACGGCTCGCCAGTAGAGACTGTGTATGTTTGGAAATGTGACACTGATGTAAAGAAAGAGTTGGAAAACAGTTGGCCACAAAGAATCGGCACTGAGATTGATTATTTCGAAATTGTGTGATAATTACAACGTCTACAAAAACACTGGACATAGCAAAATACTAATTTTCAATATTTAAAAATTATCCGGAAACGGAGACCAAATCATGGCTGATTTAGACGTTTTGTTTACACCGATGCCATGGAAACCGTGCGTCTAGTCGCGATATTGGACTGGAATCGGGTCCTGTTTCGACAGCACCCACCAGCAGTAACTCAGCTGCAGTTGAAATTGTTTGATTTTAAATAAAATTAATGAATTCGGTTGAATATTTAATAAAAAATTGTTCTCTGTGTCACGATGGTAAAATTTTAGTGAAAAATTTCGGGAGAGCCACCCGGCTATTAACTGGTAATAACAACCTGCTTTAGATATTTAACTCATCAATCAAATTGTGTCCCCCCATTTCAAAAGGTCACGAGCCGCCACTGGTATAGAAGATATAGAAATGAAGTTTAAAAACATTCTAGGGTATTTAGCTATATTTAAATTTTAGTTCTACTTGACTGAAATTTGTGTCTGTAGAAACTTGTGTTGCCCATAATTGGAGTGCAAAATCTTTCTACATATATAAATGTGTCACGGAAATATGGAGAAAACAAAAACATATTTGCTCTTTTACTGTTTACCTAGAAGTGCAAACGTTTTGGAATTGTAACTGTCAATAAACGGAATCGGTGGTTAGACTGTAAAAATACCAATGAGTCAGCTGTAAGTCCGACCTATTAAAATTCTTTTTAGCTGATTTATGTCCGCGAAGTCTGTACCCACTTTCCAATTCAGTCTGGACATGTTTAAATAAATTATAGAAATAGTAACAATATTTAGTAATAACAATAAAAACAAATAACTTTACGAGTTTTCGCAATGTGAGTGATCTGCAGACAAAAGCGTAGGTGGAGGTCATAGAGATTTAATTAGAAATCGACGTATCTGCTATATTATGAGTGTTATGGTTACGACCAAAGTTCCTGGTGCATTTTTATAATTAGCAGTATAATTTAAACAAATAAAAACTTCCATAAAATTTAACGTCCAATTATGAAATGTAAATTTTATAGCGTTTGGTGTTCAAAAGCGTTGCTTTCAAGCTCATGCAACGTCTGTAATATATTGCGTTTGAGATTGGAGTGTGACGTCATGACAACATTCGATCTATTCGTGATAGAGACTGGGATTGTGGAAAAAGATATATTTGTTATAGTTTTAATTAAAAATCTGAAACTACTCTGATATGGCAGTTTTGTCTTGCTGAAGCTTAAAATACGTTAAACCGAAAATTATGTTTTACAATATTTAAGTGTATCCCAAGCAAAGAAATAAATCTGGGTTTCTTTTCAGTTCATCTGATATTTCTATTTTTTTACAAAAACAAGATTAATGAATGAATTACACCTCTCTTCTGCTCTAAGGAGACAAAATCAATCAAATTTCATTTTCTTTTATGCGACCAGTGATGCTTGTACGTGATTATAGTCAAATTCTTTCGAAGTATAGACATAAACACTCGAAGTTAACCATGTAATTACTAAGAATTCATTTTCCCGTTGGTTTAAATCTGGTTTAAATATATTCTATCTATCACACTTGTGCCTTGCAATTTGTGTCCGTGTGGCGCAGGGGCTGCGGGGGATGTTATTTACGCCTTTGGTTTTTCCTTTATAGAGGTTATCACAAAACAAAAATCGCATAATCAAATTTCATAATTTCTCAAAGAGACGGAATTTGTTTCAGGGGCGAGGTAAGTTCGGCCGACACACTCTTCGACCAATTTTCTATATTCTGAGGGTTATGATTATGAAACGTCGATAACACATGAAAGAAGTCAAATGGATTCTACTACAATACTTTTCTAACTTACGCTCCGAAAGAAAATGAGGATTTTGAAATTAAGCTCCACCCCCCCAGGTCATGACGAATAAAAAAATAATCACAATTGAGATAGGGTGGGTGGGCGGGGCTTATATTTTGTCCCTGTTTCTTAACGTACATAGTCTTCCTTTCACAACAAGAAACTTAAACCATACTCAAAATGGTAAATTATTGTAGGGAAATATGAATTTGGAATTATGCTCCGCCCCTTGATCTAAGAACGAATGAAAATTCATCACAATTGACAGTGGGACGGGTGGGTCGTGCTTCATCTTTTGCTTGTTTTTTTTTCTGAATATATATATTTTATTCTTTGAACACCAGGTTACTTGAAAACATATTTCATATAGAAATTTTATGTAGAGAAATGAGGATTTTGAAATTACGCTCCGACCCCCGACTCACGACGAATAAAAATAAACATCACAACTGAAATAGGGCGGGTGGGCGGGGTTTATATTTTGCCCGTTTTTCTTAACATACATTGTCTTCTTTTCACAACAAGAAAGTTAAACCATATTCAAAATGGTAAATTTTTGTAGGAAAATATGGATTTTGCAATTATGCTCCGCCCCTTGATCTAAGAACGAATGAAAATTCATCACAATTGAGATCCGAACGAGTGCGTCGTGCTTCATTTTTGCTTGTTTCTTTTTTTTAATATGTATAGTTTTCTTTGAACAACAGGACACTTAAAGCATATTTCATATGGCACTTTTTTGCAGAAAATGTAGATTTTGAAATTAAGCTCCACCCCCCAGCCCACGGCGAATGAAAAAAATCATCACAATTGAGATAGGGCGGGTGGGCGGGGCTTCTATTTTGCCCTTTTTTCTTAACATACATAGTCTTCTTTTCACAACAAGAAACTTACACCATATTCAAAATGGTAATTTTTTGTAGGGAAAAATGGCTTTTGCAATTATGCTCCGCCTCTTGGTCTAAGAACGAATGAAAATTCATCACAACTGACAAAAGTGGGGACTGGGTGGGTCATGGTTCATCTTTTGCTTGTTTTTTTTTTTCTTAATATATACAGGGTGTATCATGAGTAATGCCGAGCTTTACAGGATTGGAAATGCAACACACAATACATTTTAGAGGCATCATTGATGTTGACAAAAAAACAAATTACGTATAAAACATAGTCAGCCTTTGTTCAAAAAATATCTTATTAGCAGTGAAATATGTTGTGCTGTAAAGTTTGTAAGGCTCGGCATTACTCACGAAACACCCTGTATAGTTTTCTTTGAACAACAGGGTACTTAAAGCATATTTCACATAGCAATTTTTAGTAGAAAATGTGGATTTGAAAGTTAAGCTCCACCCCCGGCTCACGGCGAATAAAAAAAATCATCACAATTGAGATAGGGTGGGTGGGCGGGGTTTATACATATTTTGTCCTTTTTCTTAACATACATGGTCTTCTTTTCCCAACAAGAAATTTAAACCATATTCAAAATGGTAAATTTTTGTAGGGAAATATGGATTTTGCAATTATGCTCCGCCCCTTGGTCTAACAATGAATGAAAAATTCATCACTATTGAGATCGGCATGGGTGGTAGCGCTTAATTTTCTGTTTTTTTTTTTTTTCTTTTAATACATATACCTAGTTTTCTTTGAATAACAGGTTACTTGAAAACATATTTGACATAGCAGTTTTATGTAGAGAAATGTGGATTTTGAAATAAAGCTCCGCCACCCCGCTCACGACGAATAAAAAAATTATCACAATTGAGATAGGGTGAGTGGGCGGGGCTTATATTTCGCCTTGTTTTCCTAATATACATAGCCATCTTTTCACAACAAGAAACTTAGAACATGGTTAAAATGTTACATTTTTGCAAGGAAATATCGATTTTCCAATTATGGGGCGGAGCCTAATTGTAAAATCGATATTTCCTTGTACAAATTTTCTATTTTAAATATGTTTTATGTTTCATATTGTGAAAAGGAAGTCTACACATATTAAAACAAAAAAGATTATTTTTTAATTCCTTAGGCGGAGCTTAACTGCAAAATACTTATTTCTTTACCAGAAATTAAAAACGTGTTTTTGAGTACTATTCAAAGAATACTATGTATATTAAGAAAAACAGAAAACAAAATATTATTACGAAATAAACCGCCTCGGTATGACGCCTATGGGTTTTCTAGTACGTGAGTCGATGATGGGTGGCTCATCGTCGGTAACGTCGGCCGGTCGGCGTTCACTAAAGAAGGGCCTGGAAGCGGAAGTCGCGATGGGTGCTCCAGACAAGTCTAGAAGCGATGACGGAGGGGTTTCGAGAATGACCGCTTGGCTATTTAAATGGGAACCACAGTCGGGAGCAGCCAATGAAGTCCAGACAATGGGAGAAGTAGAGTTTAGTGAAATCCATTCCAGTCGAGTCAGAGTTATTCTGTACA